ATATGGTTTTAGGATGAATGTTCAAGTTCCACCTTGATACAATCTGGATACAATCTGGATCACTCTTTTTTTCCTACGTCTTTGGTGAAATACCACTGGTTTCGTGCCAGCACCGTGACACCCACCCTTTGCGCACTCACCCAAGGAGTGGCCAGCACAAGCCACAGGTTTCACCTTTCTCCGCACCATGGAAGCTGGTGGAGTTGGTGATGGGAAGGATGGGAAGCTGAAAATATTGCCAGATGGAATTTCACAGTGCCCTGGAGTCCCTGGAGATTTTGATGCTTTAACACTTGAACCGACAACTACAGCATTTTCAATGCTTCAAAGATGGAACCTGAAAACAGCCAACGGCCATTTTGGGCATCTCATCGTCAAACTTGGGCTGATGCTGGGGCAAAAGGCCGTGTGATATGCCAGGTATTTCTTTGGAATCACGATCTCCACTTGCTCACGCCTCTCACCAAATCCCGTCACTAAGCATATGCCTTTATCCAATTGAACCGGGACTCCCCAAGAACCAAACATCGGTCGCAATTGTTCCTTCTAACGTCCCGTCATATTTCAGTATATCCCCTAGATTTTACCATTTTATCCCCAAAATAAATGGTGAATAGTCGTAAATGTCCTAGTAAATGGATGTAATCGTCCATTCAATCCCTACATTCGTGAGAAATTGTCCATTCAATCCCCATTCAATCCTCATTCAATCCTTGCATTAGTAGGAAATTCACCATTGAATCCCTACATGAGTCACATACCCTCTCGTAATGTAACAGTTCGCTATTGAAAATGGCAATCTATAGTGAGTTTTTCCATTAACTAGACGACGGATGGCCCGAGAGCGTAGAGGAGCAGGGTCTTCTCTTGTTAGTATGGAGATGCAATTTTAGAAACGGTATATGAAAGCTGTGTTATAGGCAGTCGAGAAGAGGAGTATCAAGACAAAATAGTGAGAAGTGCAAGACAATAGGTTGCATCGCAAACACTTTTGCACACAGACGCTTTTACACAGACGCTTTTACACACAAAGCTTTTACCCACAGAAGCTTTTACACACAGAAGCTTTTACAGACAGAAGCTTTTACATACAGAAGCTTTTATATACAGAAGCTTTTACACACAGACGCTTCTACACAGACACTTTTACACACAGACACGTTTACACACAGACACTTTTACACACAGACCCTTTTACACACAGGAGCTGCTTTTACACACAAACGCTTGTACACACAGAAGCTTTTACACATAGACGCTTTTACACACAGACGCTTTTACACACAACGCTTTTACACACAGCGCTTTTACACAGAACACGCTTTCACACAGAGCTTTTACACACAGACGCTTTTACACACAGACGCTTTTACACACAGACGAAAGGGTTGCTCCGGCACAGGAAAAATCGCAATTTTACCTCAGTTTCTACCGATCGACCCTCATTTCGTGCGAAAGGGTTGCTCCGGCACAAGTAAAATCGCAATTTTACCTCAGTTTTTGCCGATCGACCCTCATTTCGTGCGAAAGGGTTGCTCCGGGGCAAGTAAAATCGCAATTTTACCTCAGTTTTTGCCGATCGACCCTCATTTCGTGCGAAAGGGTTGCTCCGGCACAAGTCAAATCGCAATTTTACCTCAGTTTTTGCCGATCGATCCTCATTTCGTGCGAAAGGGTTGCTCCGGGGCAAGTCAAATCGCAATTTTACCACAGTTTTTGCCGATCGATCCTCATTTCGTGCGAAAGGGTTGCTCCGGGGCAAGTCAAATCGCAATTTTACCTCAGTTTTTGCCGATCGACCCTCATTTCGTGCGAAAGGGTTGCTCCGGCACAAGTCAAATCGCAATTTTACCTCAGTTTTTGCCGATCGACCCTCATTTCGTGCGAAAGGGTTGCTCCGGACAAGTCAAATCGCAATTTTACCCTCAGTTTTTGCCGATCGACCCTCATTTCGTGCGAAAGGGTTGACGTTTCGTGACTCGCCGCCGGCACCACCCTCGGCCTTAAGAGAGAAAGATAAAACGAAGAGCGTGAGAGAGAAGGTGAGCAGGTGTGAAGATAAGAAGATGTGAAGATGAAGCAAGATGTGAAGATGAGCAGATGTGAAGATGAGCAGATGTGAAGATGAGCAGATGTGAAGATGAGCAGATGTGAAGATGAGAGGATGTGAAGATGAGAGGATGTGAAGATGAGCAGATGTGATGAGATGTGAAGATGGGAGGTGTGAAGATGAGCAGATGTGAAGATGAGAAGATGTGAAGATGGGAAGGTGTGAAGATGAGCAGATGTGAAGATGAGAAGATGTGAAGATGAGAGGATGTGAAGATGGCAGATGTGAAGATGAGAGGATGTGAAGATGAGAGGATGTAAAGATGGAGATGTGAAGATGAGAGTGTGAAGATGTGAAGATGAGCAGATGTGAAGATGAAAAGATGTGAAGATGAGCAGATGTGATGTTTTGACGATGAAGAGGATGTAGATGTGAAGATGAGAGGATGCAAAGATGAAAAGATGTGAAGATGAGAGGATGTGAAGATGAGATGTGAAGATGAGAGGATGTGAAGATGAGATGTGAAGATGAGAAGATGTTTTACAGACCCCCACTATTGGAAGAACCCTGCGCTCAGACGCTCTCGGGAAAAATGCTGGTTTTCCATAGTTTTTTGTATGTTTACCAGAGGGTAAGTAAGATTTTCCAATGGCGTCCACTGCGCGCTTTGCAGGCCACCACTCCCGTCCCGGTCGATTCCAGGCGTTCCCACATCAACGGCCAGCAAGGTCTGAGCCAAGGCCTAGGCCCAAACTGAAGATCTCAGTCTGGAAATTGACCAAAAACTTAGGAATCAAAAGTGTGAGTGGATTGCATATCTGTATATATATATATGTGTGTGTGTGTGTGATGTGCTCATGATACATATATATATACATGTATGTATACATATGGGTATATGCATAGACGTTCGTTGTATGATTCCGATACGTACAATTTATGTGCAGTAAGGTGTATAAGGTGTCTGTGTCATTCACCAAGACCTGGAAATGCCATAGTCCAACAGCACTTTTCGACCGAGTTGTTGCTACCCCGTTTTTCGGGGCCACCGCGCGGTCGCGCGGAGAGTGAAACTTGCTGATGAAAAATGAAGCATGTTTTTTTCTTGCTGAAATTGCCAAAAATAGTTGGAGATGGCTAGCCAGTTTCATAATGTTCATACATGGATGCACAAATAGGTATTCATAATGTATATATAATGTATATATAATGTATATATAATGTATGTATATATATATCCCCCCTTTTAAGGTATATATGTACACATAATATGTATCTATGTATACACACACATAATTTATATTCGTGTCACTGGGATGATGACCAACATGGCTAGACTTATCTGGTAACTTAATGGAGATTTAACATGATACAATCTCATAGACCCTCTGGTAATGACTGACAGTTTGCTACAGATAATTGCTTTGTTTTATGTTTAAATCATCGAACTAAATAGGCCATCTCTACCATAGCAAACATTAGCAAAGTGTTAGATTACCAGAGGGTAAATCCAAAAAAAAAAACTTATCCCATTATATTTCAGGATCCATTAATATCCCCACTATTAATGAGTTCAATGCAATCCCGTTGCGATGGGCAGCATTTTCAGTCGGATATCCCCCAGCTTCAGCATGTCAGTTATTGTTTGCTTGCATACATCCATATGCATGTGTGTGTGCAGATGAGATGCGTATGTGTCTATTTAAAAAAAAAAAAACATATATATATATATATGCATACATAATAGTCATATATATATAGAGTCATATATGTATATAGTCATATATACAATCACATATATATATATACATATTCGTATATGTATGTAATCATATATACGTATACACATGCTGTGCTCCTATCCTACCGTTGTTACGGTCGGCCGGGGTGCGAAAGCCTGGCCAGTTCCCTGAAGTCCCTATACCCAGAGTGGGTATAGGAACCACCTTTAGAAGTGATAGAATATACCCTCTGGTAATTTAACATAGCTATTGACAATGGCCATTTATAGTGGGTTTTCCCATTAAAAATGGTGATTTTCCATAGCTATGTTAAATTACCAGAGGGTAATGTATATCTGTATGATATGTATACTATGGCTGGATATCATGATATTAGATCTACTGGTCGTGGATATATATCTATATATTATGATATATGATGGTAAGTATGATATTTTGATGCCAAATAGCAATGGCTGGATCATCTCTCCAAATAGCAAGACCAAAGATATCACTGACTCTCTCCCCCATGGCATATCAACAAATCATGGGGGTAAAAATTTGGAAAAAAAACAATGCCCCATTATCTCCCCCATGTTTTTTTTTGCCATGTTTTTTTACCAAACAAATCATGACATATGTTTAAGCAAATCGCCTGAACCTTAGAGCCCTAGCAGCTCCATCTGGGACTTTCCACCAATACTTGGGACATCTTGGGACCCAGAAACGCACTTGAGAAGCTGGTTTGCCCTTTGGTAACAGTTTGCGAACTGGAAAATCACTATCTTTAAGTTCGGTAAATCAACTATTTCGATTAGGGCCATGTTCAATAGCTATGTCAAATTACCAGAGGGTACAAGTTCTCTCTATTTTACCCATTGATATGACTGTGGCTCAAAAGTGGGGTATCCAGGCACAGAATTGATAGATTTATTGGCACTGAACCAAAAAAAACTGGGCTGGTTCATAAGTTCACGATTTTGAGCCATGCTCCATGGCTTGCTGGAAAATTCTCAATTAAGTTCGATTATTTTCCCGGTCAGCCATGTTTGACTACCAGTTGGTTAGTTGTATATCATCCAGTTTTATATCTCATTCTACTTCCCCACTGGTCAAACCATCTTAAATCCCTATTAAGTCCCATCAAAACCACCATTTCAAATGGTTAAATCACCCCTTGCTTCACATGTCATGTCGTTTTTTTGGCTTCTCCGACCCGGAGAAGGGGCTCACATGTCGCACGCCACGAAGGCCGCAATGCGGTGGACAGGTAGAGCCAAGCCGAAGCGTCCCAGCAAATGTCGTCCTCCCAGGGTGATGGGATCCACTGGTCACAAAAAAAGAGATGGTTGATCTTGGTTTGCGGTGTATCACGGCAAATATGGTATCCATCTATATATATATATATAATATGTATATATATATAATACATATATATATATTATCTATACATATATATATAGTATTATATAGTTACTATCGTTTACAAAGCAACATAACTGGTGGGGCACCATAGTTTTTTTGAAGGCAAAGCCTTGGTTTTCCGGGTCTTTTCCCCGAACAAAGCGGGATGAGAGATGTGTGGGGAGGGGATGTTCCTTGGTATTTCTAGCTCAAAAGGTTGGGTGATTTAAGGTTAACCTGACATACAAAGTTCAAAGAATGACAAGTAAGCTATTGGTTTTGCGGGTCGACACTTTCAGGGCTCAAAGATACCAGGGGCCGGGAGATCAGGTGGGGATAGATTAACATGTGCGCCATCCATTGTAGTTTGATGTAGTTTGACCATGCTAGCCAGGGTACATCATGGTACTAGTACAACCGCATTTACCAGTATGGCTCCAGTTGAAGCAAAACTTCGCAAAATTCCCCCAGTGGCCAAAGTGATTTCACCTGACAAAACATGGAACCCCCCAGTTGAACTAACCAGGTCTCTTTAGGATTCCAGGTTTGACAGACATTTTTATGGTAAAATCAATTGAAGCCTTCTGCCATCAGTTGGTAATTTGGGGTCGCAAAAGGGGTATTTACACCATCTTCAAGTTGTTGGCAGGACATCTCTGGGTAAATTAAAATAATTCACTAACCTGAATTAAGGCCATTTTGGGATGATTCCCCTAACTAATGATTATAGTGAGGTCACAGTGAGGTCGTTATAATTTACCCAGACATCTGCATCAGCCTCAATGTGGCTTAGTTGGTTCTGCCCACGGTTTCCCATTCCGTCGAAGACACGCACCGGATGGTCTGACATCAAAGATAAAAAACCGCCAGCCACAACAAACCCAGTTACCCAGCCAACCACTCACTGGCATGGAAGGCCTACTTTGGCAAAATTTATCTAGGTGTCAATGACCATGGTTTCAATACCCTTATCCCATTCATAGTCTGGCTAGATGTCCCTTTTGGAAAACACCACCGGCATCACAAGTTTTTGGCACTGCAAGATTGAGAATTTCCAGCCAAGTCTCTAATTGATTCGTCTTCAAATTCATTGGGTACCCGCTTCAAAGACATCAGCAGCACCTTCAGCGAGTAGAGAATGGGCGCCGGCTGCCTCAGTTCTTTGAGAGCGCCTCCTGGCTGATGGGTAAAAACTGACGCGGCAATGGGGCTACAACATCTGTTTTTAGTAGAAGACCAGGACAATCCATTTGGAGAGTTGATACTTACTTGTATTATACTCCAATCATCCCAGTATAAATAGTATGTCAACTGTCAACCCTTGTTTCGGCATAGCCTTCTTCCAAGTATATAATATAGAGAGACCCTGCCAAACACGGGGTTGGGAGATTATGTTCCTCCTCTTGAATGGGAAATTCTCAGTGCCGTTGTTGGTTGGAGCATGGAGAAAAAGAAAACGTATTGAACTATCACAAGCCATGGAAAAAAAAAAAAATCCAAAAAACACCAAACATGAATCAAGAAGGAAACAAACGCAAAAGCCCATCAAAAACATTAATATCAGTATACATATACATAAATATATGACTATGTGGCGGTTGATGCGGTTGATCTAAATTCCTTTATCTATCTGCAAACGGCCATTCTTCGCGAATAAAAATGTTCTCTTCGCGGGGTTGCAGCTATCCACTTTTGTGCTGTTGAGGCGCACTCAAATAGCATGCAAACGGTAACTGTGTGAGCGATCCAGGACAGCCAAGGGTAGCATTGTTTACCACGTTCCCTTGACTTGCCGCTGCAAAGGTGCAGTGTGGGCTACTGGTTTCCATGGACACCTTCTCTTTCACCACTGCTTTCGCGGAACTTTCGCGAGACTTTCGCGAAAAATCATTTGCAAATCAACGGAAAAATCCACACCCTGAACCGTGGTTGGGGGTTCAGCTGCTCTTGATTGCACTATAGTGCTTGGGTCTATTCTCTGCCTGCCGATAACAATTCAGAAGGTTCTCACTTCACCTAGGAAAATAAGAGATTGAGGCGCTTAAGCAACCTCATCAAGATACACTTTCGCCATTTCTTTCCCCGCATAAAAATGTTCTTTCGCGAACTCAGAAAAGAACTTTCGCCGGGTCTCATGTTGGAACCCTAGCGGCCGCAATTTAAAACCCTTACATGGACCTTTAGATCAACTCCCACATATAAATATACATAAATATATGACTATATATATATTATCATATATATCATATATATATATATCATATATATATATATCATATATATGATATAATACATATATCATATATCATATATATCATACACACTATATGATATAAAACCATCTAACAGCCATGGCAAGGCCCACCACCTCGCCAGGCTGCATGGCCGGATGCGCTGGCTCCACGTCGGGCACCTCGGGTACCGCGTCGTTGGCGTCGCGGTGGAGGAAGAAATCAGCGAGGCCAGCGCACTGGAAATGCCTTGGAGATCAGGTATAACCTCTGGTTAGGTCAAAATAGCTATGGAAAGTTGCCATTTATAGTGGATTTTCCCATGAAAAATGGTGATTTTCCATAGCTATGTTAGTTTACCAGAGGGTAACCTCTGGAAAACATAGAAAAAAACCATGGAAAATTGCTATTGATAACATTGAAATGGCTATTCATAGTTGATTTACCCTCTGGTAATTTAACATAACTATTGAAAATGGCTATTCATAGTTGATTTACCCAAAAATGGTGATGTTACTAACAGTTTGCGAACTGGAAATCACCATCTTGAAGTTCGGTAAATCTACTATAAATGGGTAATTGTCCATAGCTATGTTAAATTACCAGAGGGTATAACTGATAGAGAATCACTTTGGAGAAATACGAGGTTACTATGTTGAGATATCATAGTCCAACTATAAGTTGGGATGTACCATCAGTGAGAAGCAGTTATTGATAAGCATTAGGTGTATATATATATACACACTTACATACTATGAGTTACATTGGATATGAGATGTTTCACCACAGTTATAGGGTTTATATAGCAACTTTTGGAGTTTATTGCCCCGGCTGTACCTGTTCATCATATTTAATCATTAATAATCCCTTCCCCGTTCATATTAGACACCCCCAAACAAAACCATGGTGGATATACGGAATAAAACCACATACTTGGGACCAAAGAATGTGAGTGCTTAATATTAGGGGAATTGGATTAATCATGAATCATAGCAGTCGAAACTCCTCGAACTAAATGAGATACTTTCCAGCAAACCATGTTTGATCACCATAGGGTAGCAGCTTTTTTTCCTGGAGATCTAATGGAATCATTCTGTGATTAACCCTTCCAGTGAACTAACAACAAGATTCTTGGGAAATCCGGAAATCGGTGTTTTTTGTTTTTCCAGGAAATGGTCTGGATGTCTGGTCGATAAAAAAAAACGCATTCTGAATTGACTGGAGGGTATCATTCTAAATTTCGATTGATTATCAAATACCTTTGCCGCATTGCCCTCGAACCAGTTGATTTTTGAAGAAGGACCCCTGTTTATGTCAGAATATGTCAGAATGTATCGGAGGATGATACCAACGAATTTCAGAGGTTCCAAGAAACAATGTGTCTTTTCACCAGCACAACTTGGGTGAAAGACCAAGACAAAAATGGAATTGAACTGACCAAAATGGTGGTGCAAACATGACACTCAGCTGTACTAGTACTTGGGGATAGGATACTTGGGTGCACGGTTGGACCATGACCGCCGAACTCTTGAGTTTATCACCAATTGTTGGTTGAATTTCAATTTGTTGCTTAAATCCCCACTTCCATGAGTTGAATTCTCCTTTCTTGCGTCATGAGTTCCTCATTTTTCTTGTTTTTTTTTCATTAAAGTTGAAGTAGTTGAAGTTGAACCTCCATTTTTGATACGTTCAATCTCCGGGGTTAGTTTAGAGTTTAATCTCAACTGGAATCGGTTGAAACCCATGGTTTTTATCGCTGGTCTACCCACCTGAGATCGAAGATGTCGGCGGGCAAGACCAATGGAGAGAGGAAATTCGTCAACGCCCATTTGTCCTTGGGACCAGATCTGCATCCTAATTTCTTTGTGGCAAAATTGAGAGAAAGCATCATCGAAAACCGAAAAACTGAATGTCGTGAGGCTAAAAATATTAGTCAGTTGGGATTATTATTCCCAATATATGGAAAGTCATAATCCAAATGTTCCAGTCACCACCAACCAGTCATCTTTAACGTTTTGGAAAAAGTTCACAAGCACCATGGTCCCATGGTCAGCCGCGGCGGGCCCACAAAGCCAAAACATCCCAATGGTTCATCTCGAGTTTTCTCCCCTGGGGGAATACCCCAATGGAAAATTCATAGTGTTTCTTCTTTGGAATTGGGCCCCAAAATGCGGTCTAAATGGTAAAAATGATGCTGATGATGGTGATGATGATGACCTTTTGGAATTGGGGGCATCCCATTTTCACGCAAAGCCCTTCGACATCCCGGATCCAAGTGATCCAAGTCTCTGGAACCGGCTGCGAATTGTCCAGGTCCCAAACATCCATGGGTGGGGCCTTGTGTCTGGCGAAACAACGGGTGTCACATGCCTAATGTTGGTTGATATCCTCAAAGTGGATGATGATATTCCCAGTCAAACCAGTAGGAACCAGGTAGTACAACACTAGAAATCCACAGAGGATCGTCCCAGTAGCCCCCGAACACCAGGCCACATTGGCTAAAGAAAGGCCTCTGTCTCTGGGTTGTAGACATGTCGAGTTTTTTTTGAAGTTCAACTCCAATCCTTGTTGCTCAGATTCCCTTATTGAAGTTGGTGAAATGTTCGTCTTGCTTTCTAAAAACTCCATGTCCGTGCATTAAATCATATCAAAGTATATTCGCACCCTGTTTTTGTCCTAAACTTTGACACTTTGACCTATAGTAATCTGCAAAAAAATATCGAACAGTTTCCTCCTACTTTTTAATTCTACTTTTCTATCTTTTTGTTGGTTAGACATCGAAATTTCAGGACTCCAGCCGCCTCTCCGGAAGGTCCAGGCTCATCATCACCTGTTGCCCCGTGAGTTCACACGTACAAGACCGAGTTTCAAAGGGAAAATATGTAGGATGGATGGTCATCAAAATTCATGGGTGATCATCATCATCATCATCTTCATCTTCATCGTCCTCCTCCTCCTCATCATCTTCATCATCAATCATCCTCATCATCATCATGTTAACACCCTAAAGCCTAAAGGCCGATTTCCTCATGTAAAGCCCTTTTGGCATTATCCGATTTGTATTGTTCCATGTGTAGAACATGTCTGATCATGTAGTGGAACTGGTAGTTGACATCGTTCCAGTGATGTCGCAGTGGTCGGTCTCTATCCAGAATCATGATCAATCCATGATAGAACTCACCCAAAAAACAAACACCCCCAAGGGAAACCAGGCTTTTACATATGGGGATTGCGTCACTTATTTGGGATCATATGGGTGAAAATATGCTGGATACCTCCATCTTGAAGCGTCTCAATGGTTAGAAAACGATGATATTCCATTGATATTCCATTGGAATATGACAGGTACACGATTTTCAGACAAACCCATATAGGCACTGTTTCATGGGTTTCATCCACATTCCCAGGCTGCCCAGGTACCCCAAATCAACGTCAAAGGCCGCGCAGTGCGCAGGGCTGCTGCCATCGCCTGTCGGCGAAAATGACGATGGGCTATGGCTACAAGCAGACAAATTAATATAATATAATATAACATAACATAACATAATATGATATGATATAAAATAATATATATATATATATGCATATCGTTATACATATATATATATATATACACATATACATATATATATATATATACATATATATATACATATATATACATATATATATACATACATATATGTATATATACATATATATATATATATCCAAAAATAATGGATATATTTAAGTTATACTTCGATAATCAAATAATCAAACGTTGTTCCATCCAAATCACACGGAACTGTTTAGATAATGAAACAATTGAATATCTAGTCAAAATCCTATTTCTGTGTTTAAATTGTTTAAATATTATATTAGGGATATCATGAAGCAATACCTCTATAACAAGCTGATGTCTGGGTTTATCATGTCCTTCACAAAGTATGGCAAGTTGAAGGGGAAAATGCTGTGAAGTTCACGTTGGTGCCAAGGGGGTGCCATGCCCGGGATTTTCACGAAGGATTTCGATATGTACAAGGAAAAATGGCCATAGCTAGCGAATAACTAGCTCATAACCATGAGATTGGATCTAGAGCGAAGAAAATATGTGAAAATATATGATATAACTGATATAACCCATAGATCATTGGTTTCGATGTGCGGTGACGGAGTTTTGGACTTGCGATCACAAAATCGTACTGACCGCAGAAGATTCCAGGGGATGCAGATCCAAGAACCCTTGGAAAATTGATGTAACATCTGGTCAGATTGGTCAGTACAGGGATCTCTGGTATGTGTTAGTCTCATCTCATTTTTAGGGCTGGAAGATTTTCTGAAACCAACCAGGGCTCACCAATGAAAATGGCGAAGGTCTGGAGGGATCATCAGCACATTCTCAGGATCTAGACATCATGTGTTTTTTAATAGATATGAAACTACCACCCAAAGATCTTACGAGAAAACGCGTAACAAATTCAGCAACAAGAAACGCGCTTTTCTCGGGGTAAGTCTCATCATCTCAATGGCCGAATTGGTACCTGAAATTACCCTGTTGATCATCCATTGATCATCCTATTCAATATTCCATTAATCCCATTGGACCATTGAATCCAATTGAATATTGAATATTGAATATTCCATTGATCATTCTATTCCATCCATCATTCAATATTCCATTGAATCCCATCATGCTAACAGACCATGGGACCATTTCTAGATCACAAACTTCCCTGAAGCCTTTCCCCCATCCTTTCCATCTCCCTAAAATCATCATCACCATCCCCATCATCACCATTGAGCATTCCCCATCCCATCTGGGGATGGGTCAAAACCTTGTACCCCTGGTGAACATCAAAATAGCTGGTATTTATGGATGTTCATCCCACTAAAAATTGTGTTTTCATATGTATTGACTCATACCCATCTCGCCTTTTGAAAGAGCACATCGGTATCCCGCGCCCGCAGCTTCTCTTGCGCCGCATAGCCGAGGTGCACCGTGGTGTCCACCTTGCAGCCCAGATCACCTCCTGGGTGCGATACTCATGGGGAAATCAACGGGATATCAGTGGGATATGGAAAATCACCATGTCTCATAGGGAAATCATCATGTCTATCACCATTTTTTAAGGGCCATCTGTACCATAGCTGTGTTAAATAATCAGAGGGTAGCCAACTCAATATCTGGATCTTTGGGGATAATATCTTTAAACATGGAAGTGAGATGGATTGAGGACCTCAGTATTAAGCAACCTGACAATGAGGATGTATCATGATGTATCCTGTGTCCTCCAAGACTTCAACCTGGCCGGAAATTCCGATTTTAGACGTTCTTTGTAGGAAAATGATCTAAGAATGGGAAGCAAGATATGCATCAGGTTTTTTTTGGCCTAGTCCCGTAATTGAACCAATGATTTTCTTAGGAGAACAGGTACCATATGGCTTACCACTCCATGAACCAAGCAGTAGAGAAAGGACATCAATGGCATCCCATAGGCCTTTTACCAATCCAAATAACCCCCCGGTGATATTAAACATTCCCCCAGAACCCATGGGTTTTTTTGGTGATGAAACCACATACTTGGCACCTTTTTTGGTGGCCATACAACCCAGACAATGACCTCTGGGTGGGCTGATGAGGCTACAACTTGTCAAGCACTTAGCAAAAAAAAAAACTTGGATCACCTACTAGGACCAAAGATGGTGGTGAAAATGGTGAAAGTAATGCAACACATTGGGATGTGGTCAATAGGATTTTGTCTGCCAACAGAAACTCTAATTTCACCATCAATTTGTTCAGTATTTCGGTCACATCCCAATCTTTGCTGGGCGACTCTCCAATACTGCAAGGTAAATTGATGATTGCTGGGTAAATCCCATTTTTTGCTGGTGAAATCCCTTCAAAAAATCGGCATTTCACCACAAAAACCTACTGCTTTCCCTGGTCAGGAGACCCTCCACGAAGTCCAAAGGTGGCGCTCTTCCCGAAGAGCACGAGTGGGTCGCCAGCAGAAATGGAATCAGATAGGGCGGCTCCTCAAGCTGTTCATGAAATTTACCGCTATAGAACCCAACATTTTCTGGGGTTGTAATGGGAATGTAGATATAGACAATGCGTGTGTGTGTACATATGTTTATATTATAACAGTATGTACATATAGCAATGGGGCACAACCAAATAACAAATGGGAATTGCCCCGTAGAAATGGGGCTAACAAACAATGATTCGATGTAACATGATGTCACCCCCAAACTTTAGCAACTCCAAGCCACATATAGGAAATCATATTCCCATAGTATCCCACTATGGTTGGTTTTATATCCTCATATCTACACAATTATCAACCATCGTTTGTCCATTAATACCTTACCCATGATACATCCATTCTATCACCACTTTAGCAGGACGCTTGATGTTATATCATTTTTATCATTTTATAATTATACAACCGTGGATATCATATCTATATATATATAAATGAAATAGTTATCACCATAAATTGAAACCATGTTTAAATTCATGTTTAACTTATTACATCACCATAAATGAAAATATACATCATATAGCTTTGGTGATATATATATATATATATATCCCATATTTCCATGTGTATATATATATATATATGTTCATTTATTATATACATCACCATTGATATATCTATCTAAATCACCATTGATTCATGCTTAGATCCCCAGTGGTATCCCCGTTCACTTCGAGACTCCTGAGAGGCGGCTAAGGCCCGGTCAAGAATCTCACGACCTGCGCTAGGGACGTTCATCAAAAATGCTCCGGGAATTTATAGGGAAAAATGGTGACGAAATGGCATGTGAATGGAAAAATCACGAACAGAATGGATATCTGCAATGTCACTAAGAGAACCTATATTGTAAACCAGGAGAATATGGATATATATATATATATATGGGAAAAATGGTAGCAGAATGGGGATATACACATACACTGTGGGATACGACAAAAAAGTGGATGTATAATGATGTGTATATGGATGTGCAACATGAAGGAACAATATGATTATATTATAATATATTATATATGTTGTTCTTTTTGGATGCTTTAACATGATTTAACGAGCACAAAATGGGGATTTCAGCGAAATGAGCAAGCAACCAAGTTTGATCGAAGCAATAGAATTTGGAATTTGCGAATTTACCCAAACAAAATTGGGACGGTAAAGCAGTCACAAAGCTGGATTTGAGCAACACAATCTTAGATTGAACTGGGATCTGAGCGAGAGAAAGTGAGATGTGATGCAACTTGTTCACACAAGTTTGGATTTATCTAGCCAAAAATGGGAATCCGACCATGTGGTAAGGTAGGCTTCCAGATTTCTCCCTCCATGAATATCTCCAAGACTGGAGATATATCTGGGAGCAGGATTTTACCGCACATAAGGAGTTGACCCATAGACATGGAGACAGAAGCAAATCACATGGACCAAGAGCCACAAATCATGATAAACCACCAGAGGTGACAAGCGCTGTTTTTTTTCCTTGGATGAATAAGATGACAATCAATCATAAATATTCATAAATCATAACTTGGAAGAACAGCTTGGTGGTTGAGCCACCCATTAAAAAACATGTGTAC